AGCAGTAGCAGTAGCAGCAGAAACAGTCGGATCAGCAGTAGCAGTAGCAGCACTGCCCCTCTCATAATCAAAACCTACATAGCTGCTTGAATCCTCCTAGAGTCCTAGAAGAAACCTTAGCGCAGCAATCACAACATCACATTACACCTTTCGTTTTGATCAGGGTGTGCAGGGGACTGCAATAGAAATCCATCGGGGAATTACTGTCCGCAGTCCACGCCATGGGCGATGTGAGCTGAATCCCAACCCTAGACAAGAGAAGAGGAATGCTGCACTACAAACTTGGACCCAAAAAGAAAACTGCTAAAATGCAGAGTCTCCCCGACAAAGGCCTGGACGTATGACTTGTGCGTGTGCGAGTAGTACGAGCACGGCATGCCTTCAGTATTCTGGGGTTCAGGGCTCAACAGATAGGCTTTGGGGTTAAGGAGTTCTCAGAACCCCTTGTACATTTCAAGCAGGAATCAAACAGCAAGCGTTTGCTAGCAGAGTTCTAGCTCCCTTCAATGGACTCCATGCTTGGATCGCTCACAGAGCTTGAAGAAAAATGGGACACTCAAACTTGCTTTCCTTCACGAGCTTGCGAAGTTTGAGTGGATCAAGAGTGGCGAGACCACGGGAAAGGACCACAACCCTAAACCCTAAACCGTGTGTCACTGAACCCGCTTCTCACGTTCGGCATAGGCCTCAACTCCAGTTGCAACCAGATCATGCCAGATAATATCATACCTAGTCCCACCCCTAAGGTTTATATGACAACACTTGTGTTCTGTTACCTGTAGTCCCCCTTAAGTAGATAGAAAAAGGCTTCGGGTGTATGTTAATAAGATCCCCATATACCCCATACTCTATCTACTTAAGGCGGACTATAGCCAAAAACTGAAGCTGCAAGCCTTCAATCCGCTTACAACCAAGGGTTCCAGGTTTAGGGTGCAAGGTTCGGGGTTCAAGTTTAAATCTTAACCAATAACCGGACCCTAAACCCTCCCCTAAACCCTAAACCCCAAACCCTAAACCACAAACCCTAAACCCCAAACCCTAAACCCTAAACCCCAAACCCCAAGCCCTAAACCTCAGCGCCTGTCCGGCCCAATTTCTTCCACTCCTCGAATGCCTTGATGGCGTCCTGGACCTGAGCTGGAGCATTCCCTACACCCTGAGTAGGGTTAAGGGCTAATTATGGGTTTATAGTCCCCCTGAAGTAGATAGAATATGGGATATGTAGGGATCTTATTATAATATACCCAAAGACATATTCTATCTACTTAAGGGGGACTATAGGACTTAAGGATTAAGATTTGGGGCTTAGGGACCCTAGACCCTCTCCTTTCTGGATCCTATTGAGGCCCTAAACCCTTCCTGCACCCTACACCCTGAACCCCAAACCCTAGAATCACGCAAATGGGGTTTAGGGGTTTAGAGTCCGGGGCTTGGTTTAATTTAGGGTTTCGGGCCTGGCAATGAGCTGAATTCAGGATTTACCAAGGATTTCAGGATTTGGGGCTTAGTTTGATTACAGTATACGTAGAGTTTTGGGGTTTCGCTTCTGTGCACAATGGATAGAAATTCTCATAGACTCCTACGTGGATCTTGCCTTACAAAACACCTTCGCAGCCGGATCTACGGATGCTGTCCCTTATTCCCAACCCCCAAACCAAAACTCGAAACCCAGGCCCAAACATTTCAAATAGCTTTAACTCCGCATGTACCCCCCAAGAAAGGAACTCCTCAAGAAAGGAACCCCTGATTGTTGGACTGCCCATTGCAAGCCCAGCCCTTGCCATCCAAGAAGCCACATCTTCTGGCAGTAAGATGTCGCCCAGTGCACCAGAATTCTTCCCGCCCTCCGCAATGTCTCGCAGGAGCTGCTGCAGTCCCTTACTATAGGGATAATGGAAAATAAAATGGAAACTACAATAGTAAGATATATATTAGGGATATATAGGGATAATGGAAAAGAAAATGGAAACTACTATATTACTGCGTTAAAGTGTAGGGTTCCGAAGCTGATGGAGACTATCATTAGTCGCACTCGCAAGGTGTAGGAGCAATTTTTTGGACTCCAGGGAGCCAAGAATAACAGCTGGGGGCTTCAGGGCCTCACTCTCGGACTCACCCCCCTTAAACGATTTGTCTGGGTAGGGCTTACAATTCAGGATGGGGGCCTATCAGACCAAGGATCAAAAGCAGCCTATGCCTGTTCCGAACCCCATAGATACAAGGACCCTAAACCCTAAACCCTCAACCCTAACTAGTAGTTTCCATTTCATTTTCCATTATCCCTAAATTGCCCCAATATAACCTTAATATTGCCCCAATTTAAGCCCTATCATATAACCCCTCATACGAGTAACAGGTCTGGCATGGCTGAAGTTTTGGGGATACTTTGCCAGGTTCTATTGCGACTTTTTGGGCTAAGGGCTTAGCAGGTTCTACTCGATTGTGACTGCTTGTTGGTGATCAGGGGTGGTCAATAATTACACATTACGTCATCCTAAGCACATTCCCAAGATGAAAAATATGCGAGCAATAAAAATGACAACGGCAAGAATACCAGGAGAGCGTGACAATAGTAACACGGACTTGTATTGAAAGTACGTATGACAACAATAGTAACAGTAGTAGGCAACTAGCAATGGGAATTCGCCAATTCTGGTAGCTCTCATGCCAAGTTTATGGGTATCTAAGCTTTGGGCTCAAGCGTACAACCTCTGAAGTCATGAATGCCAATATGCAACCCAACATGCGGTCTGAATAACTGAATAACGCAAGCGCATCACAGTGTACTACGGTACGTGTTCCTGCTGTGAAACCCTAAACCCTAAACCCCAAGCGCTTAGGTCTACGCCTACATCCATTAAGTTTCATGAAGCTGCATGGTCGTCCTTCGATTCGCCGGTGCGCATGTGGTACCTTAGCTCCGAGAATTTGACATGAGGAGCGAGGCAAGGTGCGGAGTGTTACAGTTCACTTCTCTTAGTGTTCGTGGATCCGAATTGCTGCCGCAAGGAGGGGAGCAATCCCATAGATACAAGGACTCTAAACCCTAAACCCTAGATAGTAGTTTCCGTTTTATTTTCCATTATCCTTATATAAAATCCATATATCCTTAATAATACCCCAACTTAAACCCTATATCACCCCCGATATGAGCACTCGATCAAGGACTGCAGGCCTCCAGCTACAGCAAAAGTCAGAGCGCAAGCATTCGGAATTTCACATGGCAGTTTTCATAAGAGAGGGGCCCGTTATGTGGACCCCAAAACTATAGGTACCCCTAGAAGGCACCCAATGTTTCAGAAATCCCCACATCAGTTTTCTAGCCTTACCGACGGCAAGTGGAGTGAGCCACGTATGGTCATTTCAAAAAATAACAACCCTAAAAGTCCAAGTCTCAAAGAGATAGTCTCCCTTTAGTAGATAGAATATTATATGGGATGGGGATCTTAATACAATATACCCAAAGCCATATTCTATCTACTTCAGGGGGACTATACCTACTTTAGGCTCTGAAGTCTAGAAATGGTACCTAGTTTAGGCCCTGAAGTCTGGATATTCTAGCTACGTTGGTCCCTGATTTTTTAAATCAATACCTACCTGGTGCTATGTGGATCTCTGTTGTGTCCATCATGGTTCTCTTGTCAAGCCGTAGCATACCATACCTCACACATACCTCCAAACCACTCACACTACACGAGCCATTTCCTGGCAGGGAGTACAGGACCCCTCATGATGTTTACAACCCTAACCTCTGTATAGCCCCTGTTCACCCCGCCAGGATACCAATGGCGGGTTGGCTTCTAAGAAAAGAAAAACCTACAATACAGTAGGTTTAGGGTTTAAGGTTCAGGGTGGGACATACCTTTGGTCGGGCTCCCTAGCGACCACAAGAGATTGTGGTAGCTATACTAGGGTCCCTATGTATACCCCTAATATGCCGCTGCTAGCTTGTGGGGGCCTAGCAGCCTACCCCTAATCCCTAAACCCTAAACCCTAAACCCAAACCTCCCTAAACCCTAAACCCTGGTCCCTAATCCCTGTGGGCTCCCAGGTACTCCTTCATGAAGTTCAGCAACTTCGGGATCAGTGTTCGAGGCCCGGTCAGCTCTGCCAACGGCGGGAAAGGTACAGCCATCTTCCCCACTGCTCACTGTTTTTGAGTTCAGGGCTTAGGGTTTCGTGCCAAAAATTTTACTTATGTTTCGGGTGTAGGTGCAAGGATATACACGGATGTGAACGATCTAGGGTTAAAGTTTGAGGGCATGCATTCCTAGTAGCTATTACATCATGGATCTCCTTTGGGGTCCCCTACCTTGTTTTAGGGACATACAGGTTCTGAGTTTCGGGTTAATGGTTTGGGGTGTAGGGTTTGGGGTTTAGGGCTTAGGGTTTAGTGCACCTTTTCATTCAGAACTGTGCACACGTCTAGTATCTCTTTGAGAGGTAGTTGCATACAACAGCAAGGGATGTCTATCTGGCTATCTGTATGTCTGACTCTTTCGACGCGGCGCGAAGATGCAGGCATCTTGTGGGAGTGTCATGGAGTTTCTATATGAATAGGGATCCCTGTGAGATACCCAGAAAGACACGTATGATATCCTTACTATCGGAACACCTAAGAAGGGACCTCTGATTCATGGAAATCCCCATAGCGCAGGTTGCTAAAACGATGGTCCATGCTTGTGCTCCTATGAAACTACGGCCCCTGAGCTTGGCCACTCCGTGTGTGGGGTTTGCTCCGTCCGTGTTACATACATGAATCTCAAAACAGAATACGCGCTCCACAAACACATAAATCCATGAGAGCGCCCCAGAAAAAACATATCTTTCTTATTTGTGCTGGCATGTTTGCTTAGGGTAAATTCCTTTGCGGAATTGGCCTTCATCATCCTTACAGTGCGCGACAGACCCGGAAGGGTGATTTAAGAGTTTAGGAGCAGGTGTGTGGTGGCCCTGGCCACAGGACAATCACTTCGTCTTTAGGCAAAACAGTCCACGCTTTTCTCATCATGTTCGTCCTCGACCATGGTGTTTTAATTGCTGATCATAAGATGGGCCCAACTTTAGAAACCATACTCAAACAAAGAACAATGTTCATCGAGCCCTAAACCCTCAAAGTGACGGCTTCGCCAGCCTGCGTATCCTGAGAGCCCTCAATCCGCCTGACGGTCTCGTCGATGCTCCCTTGGCTTGCCTTGTTTACTTCCTTTGTCTGACACCACTGGTAACAGCAAACCTAATAACCAAAGCCCAGTCGTCAACAACCCACTTTCTGTGTCTGCTTGATCGCGCCCTCTCACCCTGGTGCTTGCAACGGCGTTTTGTCGTTCCAAGGGCCGGTTTTCGGCCTTGGGTCAAGCCTCGGGGATCGTTGGATCACAGGCCGCGGGCTTAGGGCTTAGGAGTTGTGAGGGCATGTTTGGCCCAAATTCTCTTATGCATCAGGCCTCTAGCTTCTCACGCCCCAGCAAAGGCAGAAATACGGATTGACGTGGGCGCTTTCGTTTTCCAGATTCGCAAGGTCCGGATGCCATGCGAGGGGTTAACCCTTGCTTGAGGTTCCCTATGAGAATCCTAGCGCTTGGGGTCCAAGTATACAAAAGATACCTACATCGGGCGGGCACTGAAGTTTGTAAATATCACCTACATTGGGCTATTTGGATCCTCAGGGTTGCACTCGGGGTACATGAGGATCCGCCATTTTGAGGCATGCGGGCAAAAGCTCTCAGATGTCCAAGGCCTCAGTTGGTCCCTCCACCATCCCAGCCTACTCCATATATCCTAAACCCTGAATCAAAAAAGATGTTAGGGTTAAGCCCTCAGCCCTGAACCCCTAAACGCTAAACCCCTAAACCCTAAACCCTATACACCACAGGGACCCTATAGAAGCGACCTTTTGGTGTCTACCTAAAGCAAACATGCGAGTTTTCAAAAACTCGGAGTTCTTCTTTGGGGTTCCTAATACGGATGATAATATTTGGGGTATCTAAGAGGTACCCCTAATGTTTAGAAAGCCCCATATCGACTCCGGATTCAACCTCCTTCCCACGCCAGCGAGCAAAGGCGCCCGTAATATCCCTTAGTGGAAAGGGGTTGGCTAAACGTAAAATCAGGGTCCCCTTTTGGGGGTTCCAACAACGAAGGAAAGTATTTGAGGAAAATGGGAGCAACCCCTTTTTCCCCGAATTTCCCCCAAGAAATGTATCAGCGCGGCCTCCATAGTAGGAGAACTTATTGATCTGAGCTATAATCTAAACTCCGAGTATCCTTATTGATAACCCCTATAGCAGTCCCCTATGTAAACCCTTTTATAACCCCTTTTACTGTAGTCTCCTTAGACCTAGAAAAATTGATATGTTTCAGAGCTATACGATGATAAAATCAACGATACATCCTAAGGAGACTAGAGTTTAGGGAGTTTAGAGTATGGCTCATCCCCCTAAACCCCAAACCCCAAACCCCAATCTGCAAGCCCTAAACCCTAAGCCCCAAACCCTAAACCCCAAACCCTAAGCCCATTCCTACATCCCCACATTCACGAAGAACCCAAGGCATAGCAAGGCGCGGGCTGCACTGGATGAGGTTCAGCTGCCGCCCTGGAAGAGAAGAGCTTGAAAAGCTCAAGCCCCAACCGTCCATGTAAATGTCTACATATATATATATATACACATATATATGTTTACATGCATACATACATACATACA